CGTATATTTGAATTGTGAAGATGGAAAGAAGACCTGGCTCTGCAGCACAGCACAATTTGACAGCAGTGGTCCTATATCCTACAGCCTCCAGGGTGGTTAGATCTGGAATTTTAGGTCATCTCTAGTAATCTCTCAGTCTGTTAGATAAGAAAATGCAACACTTCAGCAACACTTCTGCTGCAAGAATTTCTTTATGCAATATATCACAACTGAGCATCTCCAGCTTGGTCGAACTGTCTTGAACCATCTGATGTTACTCATCTTGCCTGTGAGATCCTTCTGGCCTCTTGATACTGCCCACATTCTTCCCAAGAGAAGATGATGACAGAGAGAAACATCAGCTCCACTCTGCACATGTACACAGCATTAATCACTGCTGACTTGTCCTGCTAATGAGGAAAACTGATCCCCCTCTCTCCTGCTCCTTCACGTATTTAACCAGCTACATGCCTGGGTGGAAATTAAACTCAGATTAAAACTAAAAAGAATCCTTAGTTTGACTCACCTTCTTTCTTCACTTTCACGAAGACAAATTTTAAAAATGCACTTGGACCAGGTCTAAAATAATCCTGCAACAACTGTGCTGAATAAACCAGCAAGCTCTTTATCACATTGAAAGCAGAGAAAAAAGTGGTGGGTATTTTTTTTGTGGGAAGGGATTCTGTATGGGAATATCTATGTTTTCTGCTCATCTTTCATATTCAGGTTCATCTGGGGACTACCAGCATGATTCATAACAGTTTGGGCTGATCTAGGGTAAGATCTCCCTTATGGACTCAAAGGAAATATTTAGAGTCTGTTTCATGGGTGCTTACACATGAACACTATCTCTACATGCTTTAGGAGAGCCCTAAAAAATAGCCTGAGCCACAAAAGCCTGAGGTGCTCAAAGCCCAATCTGAACAGTCCTGCATGCCCATGAAGTCGAGAAAAGTTTAGCAATGCTACCAGCTATTAAACTGGAGAAAGAGGGATGCTCAAGAGGCCAGCATGTACAGCCTCTCTGACTGAGGCAGCATCTAATCTAGACCTTTCTCAGCAGCCTTTTGTCTACTTTACAATTAAAAACTCTTAGCATTGGTGTTCCTTGGACTCCTCTGACCATGTCTTCCAGTGCTTAACTGCCTACAAACTGTTTATAAGGAGTGGAGGATCTAGGTAGCTTTGTTCAGTTCAGAGAAGAGATGGTTAAAGGAGACCTAGCTGCTGTCTTTTAACTATTTCAGGTGTGGGGGATATACAGAAGGTGGAGTCAGACTGTTCTTGGAGAGGCTGTGCCCTCTCTATCCTGGAGAGTGTAACTGAGCGACCCAACCTAACCTCAGTTAGCCCTGCTTTAACCAAGAGACTGGGCCAGAGACTTTCAGTGATGCCTTCCAGCATAAAATGTTCTGTGGTACTGTATTTTTATGATGATGTCCTTATGATTAGAAGTATTTTGCTTTTATTATGTGACTGAATAACTGCAAAATAAGTAAATTTCTGGGAGACTATTACCTTGCTCTCCTTCGCTGTGCTGTTCTCTATATTAAACAATGGCTGGCTCAGTACAAAGCCTATTCAGGGTTACCCAAGGTAATGCCAGTTAACTCCAGGCTCAGTTCCAAATGATCACTTTAGGAACTTCTTTTGCTTGAGTCAGTCTTGCTGAGAAACAGTGCGAACCAGTATAGGAAAGAGTTTCTCCTAACTTCATTTCTAGACTTCCAGGAACCTAACTCCTCTCTCTGCATGGATCTGAACAGTTCATGGGAGTTCACAATTTCAGCTTAGCCTAGATGGTCATGCTGCAGAATAATACTTGAGATACATGAAATGTCTACTACATTAGCAGCATGGAGTAACTGCATTATCCCCAGACAAGCTGTAGTAACCTGAGCTGTCCCTTCTGTCCACTTACTCTGCAAAGTGACCATCCAGGTGGAATGAAAAGCACTGCCCAATGGAAGGGAAGCCACTGGGGCTGGTTGGGTGGGAAGGATCTGAGCTCAGGGCAATGCCAGAGTTATAACTCAAGTTAACTCTTCAGTGAAAACAAACTCTTAACTTAGTAAAAGTATTCAGCCTCCTGGAAATCCTAGGAAAAGTTTAGATAAAGCGACGCATGGCTTTTCATGCCAGCTGTCTGTGCAAGTGATTTATGGACTGTAATAGGCCATAGAACCAGATCACTTCACTGGCTTCCTAAAAGACAGAGGGGTGGATTGTGGCTGCACTTACGAGCAGAGTATCCGTTCCTTCAAGGCATCACCACTCCTGACATAAAAGCAAACCTGATTTTTGAGCGAGCCAGTTCTCACATTTTTCTAAGAACACTATAAATGCCTTGGTAGAATCCTGCTTTGACAGCTTTGGATTTATAAACGTCAGAAATAAATTCTGATTATTTATTTTGGATAAATAATGAACAGCATAAAAATTGCTGATGTTAACCTTCATTGGAAAAGTTGTTTTAATGGGTCCATAAAATCTTCTATTGATGGCAGGTTCATAAAACTCCATATTGACTTCAGCTAAAGGCTATAACTTCTATCAATACTGTCAACAATTAATATTGATTAATAAAGGTATCCTGTAAACTGAGTCATAGCATTATGTTACTTTATGCTGCCATTAGCAAAACTTCATGTCTTCTTGAAAACATTTCTCCTATAAAGCTGGGATTGCTCTTGATAGCCTGTGTGATAGCAGCAGGCCCAGAGAAAAACTACCTGTGTGCAGAGGGAGGAAACACACAGCAAACTTTGCATTTGCAAAAGCCTTTGCAAAGCTTCTGAAAGGATCTCAGGCTTTGTTTGCTCTAAGAGCTGTTTTCAGGCTGTAAGGGGTTTGTGTGTAAAAGTTTCTCACTTTTATCCGTGCTGAGCAATTACAAAATGAAGATGTCCAAATCTTGTGACCATTTGAGACTTTTTTCTTACTCCTTCTTCTCTTCCTCCTTTGCAACCTTTGTCTGGATACATTTATACCACCAATTCAACTGCAATCCCTCAATTGAAATGACGTATCTTTCTTTCAGCTCTGGACCAGTTTTTCTGACCTTAACCTTGCTGATTTCTCTGATATGTTCCCAAGAAAGTCTAAGCTTCAGCTGAAACTCCCCAGAACTACATCTTGGATCATAATATTTTCCCTCAAGTTTCACCACAACTTTTTTTTTTTTTCCCCCAATATGAACAGTATAATTATGTACTGGACACAACTGCTCTCTAGATTTTATTTATTCTACACAGACTTTGCATCATCGAGTATGATATAGCCTTTCTCATTCAAAACACTCAACATCTAAGACTGCAAGGACCCAAAGAAACTCTTTCTACAGCACTTTAAAAGCTTGCTGATATATTCTCCACCTTTCTGTCTTCCCTTTTCTAGTTGCTATGAAATGATGGTTCAACAGATGGGTAGTGTATCATTAAATTCAAGAGAAGAAGAATCGGAGGTTGCCTCAGTCCTGACATGAGTACTACCTCTGTTACTATTTTCAGTAGAGCCTTTCAAGGCATGTGCTGTTGCTAATATAATTTCATTTGTAGGTACAAAGTTGCATTCACACATGTAGAGATAGCATGATGGAAATCAATGAAAAAGACTCCAGCAGCTAATGTAATTCTTCACTCTTAAGCTGAACACAAAAAAAAGAAAGACTAAAAAAGACTACGAGTATGTACTTTGCTTTTCCTAGGTAGGCATGGAAAGAAAAATGTATGGGATAGGATCACAGCTGCTCATACACCACCATGGAAAGCGCAAGAGAGGGCTTTGGATACTGAGAATGGGATGGAAGTGAAAGGTGTTTGCTTGTGGTTTGGTTCTAGTGTTTTCTTGGGAGTGTATAAAACTCTAATTGACCCTGATGATCCCTCTGGTTTTTCATCAAAACACAAGGCTTGGAAGGAAAACAATATAATCTGGCACTGTGTGTCTGTCTGTCCTAACGCGTGCAACCCTGTAAGATACTACACTAAGAAACTTTAAAAAAAAAAAAGTTGTCAAGATAATTTAAAAAGGCTTTTCTGTACATCCTTCCAATGGAAGGCCATTTATCTTTGAACTTTGCCTAATATATCATTATCTCTGAGCAGAAACTTAAAAAGCTTCTACTGTAATTTTGTTGGAGTTAAACATAAAATCATGTGGGTGGTGTATGTCTCATCGTGTCATGGCTTCCCAAGGAAAAGTTATCATCATTTGTCACTATAATACTGTGGCAAAAAGCATAAAGAGAACAAGCAATACAGTCATTTCACATCAGCTTTCTGAGCGGAGCTCAAGCTCCCGGTGACTTGTATGCAGTGGCTATATTAAGAAGCAGGCTGTGCCATAATTGAATTAAAGGTGCAAAGGCATATATGGCTCTGTGAACTCCTAGGTCAAGCTGCAATTGAATCAAAATCCTCTCTCCTTCCTACTCTGCTTGGTAGAACTGCTGACCAAAAGGTTCGCAGACCTACAAAACACATGCAGGAGTCCCCGCAGCTGGGGACACAAAGTTACAGAGATAAAAAATCTGTGACCTTCAGCTTTTATTTCACGTGAAGAAAAGGCTTCTAAAAATACTTTGCCATCGTTTTCCTTCAGAGAGCAGTCAGCTGATTTACATAAATGAAACAGCTCCTGTCAAGGAACCAGCAAGGAAAAGAAGGAAATTATCTGCCCCAAAAATCTGTAGCAAAGATAAGAGCCGCATCGGCCAGGGGAGGGGAGATTTAAATGCTTATTGTCTGAAAGGTCACTACAGAAAGCAGAGAGAGTATTAAAGCCACTTAATGATCTCTGTCGCTGTGATAAATAAGTAGGAGCTTCTCCAGCAGTTTATTAACAAACACTCTGTAGGACAGTACAAAAGGCCACGACGTGGGGCTATCAGAAGAGTGTTTTCACTGAGTCTGGTAAAAAAACCCACAACACAAAACATAAGGCAGATTAAGGTGGAGTGGTAAGAAGAGTCATTTCTGGTAGAGCTCAAGGCTGCCATTGCATGTGGTGTCACCACTTACCAGTTTCAGTGTTCTCGTGCTCTGTGTCAGTGAGGGTGAGGTTGGAGTTGGCCCTGCTTGACAAGCAGGAGCTGCGTCCGGACTTGGTGTTGCGTCCCCAGAGCCTCACGGGGTGCTCAGGGGACATGACCACGTCTGTCTCGGTGTCAGCGTCCGAGCCAGCGCTGATGGAGTAACCACAGTGAGGCAGCCCGATATCCGTACGGTACAAGGTCCCATGGGTGGGGGTCACGTCTTCGAGACCCAGCTCTCGCAAAGAGAAGTTGGCTCCTGGGAGAAAACAGAGCAGCCTGGTTACTCTTTAGTTGGGAATAGTTTTGTCTAAAGCACAAGTCAATGGCAGAACTGATCGTTCTCTGTCTTCAGGTGGGGCACAGCAGCTCCTAAATCCTAACATCATACCAAAAATTCCTCTGTTTTGTGGTCTTGCTTAGGGTGAGACCAAGTGATCATGCCAAGACCAAAGAGAAGCTGGATTTCTGCTTCTTTGCCCTGACAAAAACTCAGGGCGTGCTCAACAAAATCAGCAAATTTGAAAGCAAAGATGGGTGGAGAAATGGTGAAATTCTGTAGAAGAAGCAAAAAGTAATCTTGGGAGAAAAGCAAAATGAAGCATGCAATGATCAAAAGTCCTACCATACACCTGGCAGCTCTAATACAATAGGAAGTTTGAGTGAGTTCTGCTTGTTGAAATCCCTGTAATTACATGCTGGGGATTTAAATTTCCTTTGGCAATCTCACTTTCCCCTTGTGCTGACCACTCACACTTTGACTCAGTTTAGCTATTCATTCTGATACAGTCACAGCAGAGGTTATTTGGCTGCAAATCGCAATTGTTTAGCTGACTAAAAATACAACCTGAAAAATGACTCTTGAGTTCACATCTAGTTACCTGCAGAGCTTCAAAATCAGACCACATCAGTGTGAATGAGGCTTCAAATATTAGCATACTTTGTTCAGAAAGTTGCATGAGGTGGTGGGGGAGAGCAATTAGTGGCTTCATTTTAATCCACATTTATTTATTAATGCCTGCATTTATTTTTCAGTCTTGAATGTCTTTAAAAGATTTTGAGCACCTGTGAATGCCTTTAGCTGCACTGGGCATTCATATGGCACAATGAAGTTCTACTCCTGTTATGCTTTGCCTTGATTGGATGGATTAAGAAACTTTATCTGTAACTGGTAGGAAGCATCAGGCCCTGGATCATGGCCAAATACCAATACCGGTGATCAAATTCAGCCTATCTGGCTTCTTCCCATTATTTCAATAAGTAAATCCCCTGCAATAAAAAGAGGGGTGGAACCTGCCAAATCCACACAGGCCACAGGCTTAGTTTTAGAGCAGTGTTTGCAGCTCAGACATGTTTTGACAAGATAAATCTGAATGCCTGACCTCCAGGAAAGTTCAGGTTCAAACCTGCCTTTGAATGGTGAAGTTCCTATCTCCTCATTATTAAAATCTCTTCATCAGATCTTAAGGTTGTATCCAAAATTGAGTTATGATTCTCTCCCTGCTCAAAACCACACAAGCATGTGGTTCTCCTCACATTTCCTTTTGTTCATGTTAAGTATCATACGGTGGAAAATATGTATCCAATAGAAATAGTCAGATTTCTACTTTTCCAGTCTGCTTTCACACTTGTGGAAACACCCTGGCTTATCCCCAAGGCCTGCTGCGTGGGGAAGGTCTCTCCTATCATAGCACACATGCATTGAATGATCAGCTGGCCCAAATCAGGTGCCATTTCACTACACTCCTTCACTCAGATGACTTGGCAGCTCACGGTGAACAAGGAGATGTTTGAATACAGGATGAATGATGGGACTGGACAACATTTCCACATAAAGCTCAGAGAAGGAGCTGTTTGACGTCAGAAGGAAGTAGGAGTGGTTCAGCTTGTTATGGAGCTTCTTCAGCTTGTTGTGGGGTTGGACTAGATGATCTTTGGAGGTCCCTTCCAACCAATACATTCTATGATTCTATGGATCTACAGCTGATAGCACTCAAACTATATAAATCATTCATGAACTTCACACCTTTTTAATTGACCAAAGATTAAAGTTTTCAGACAGAGTGGACAGAGCAGGTTGTTTGGGTCTTACACTTCCATCAAACCCCAGGGCCTTGCTTGGAAGCATAATGCAAGCTTGTGGCAAATTAATCTATTTAACTTGATTGCACAGTGGTCTAAGAGAACGTTCTCTACCATGCCATGGCATGCGGTAGCAAATGAATTTGACCCAAGTTCTAAATGCAAGGACACTGTATCTCTCCAGAGACCTTGCTCTTCTCTTCCAGTTTCAACTTTTGTGCAAGGCCAGGATAGTTTTTAAGCCATCTTCCGTGGAGTACTGGAAAGCTATCTTTTGGTTTTGCTTGCATGTTTGAGTCACTGATGACAAGTTCCACCTTCCCTTGAAACAAGCCACACTTAACATCATCGGATACATCAATGTGCAGTGTGACTGGTGCTCTCCAGTAACAGCAGCTCATAAATTATGAAAAATGACTGCTACAATTAACTGAAAATCAAATTTATTTGCAATAAACAGCAGGAGATGCATTGATTTTCATATTCTGTGCTCACTGTTGCCTTTTAAGCTGGAAGAACTCAAGTCAATAAATGGAAGATAATAAATATCTGAGACTTTTTAATTCAGATCTGGTCTATTTTTTCCTGTGCTGACTTGCATATTTGCCGGCACTCTCACTCTAGCTAAAACCATTTAAATGCTGACTTGTTTATTTACTGAATTTATTTGGTCAATTTGAAATGTTTCCCTCCTCTGCCTTCCAAAGCAAGGCAGGAGAGAAATTCACTGTGCCTTGTTGATGTCAAGCAGGCTAATAATGCTTGGTTTCAGTTGGCATGAGCCCAAGCAGCACCACAAAGTGAGGTCCATTCACAATTTTCTGCTAGTGGAAAATGTGGCACAGAAAGTCTGGGGTTATTCTTAACATTGTTCAGCCAGTTTTGGGACTCTCCGAATGATCTGGGAGAAAATTATAAACTGAAAAATCTGTGGGTGACATATCTAGAAGTAGAATTGATGCCCTGACATGGTTAATCTTAACATCTTCTCAAATATGTTCAGCCATTTAGACCAAGCACTTTTACTATTTCTCAGTACCCTGCAGAATTTGCCTAGGGAAGTATGAACTTGGGTATAGAAAATTTATACTCCCTGTCAATGGACTGGTTTTTTTTTTTATTTTATTTTTATTTTGTGGGCTTCTTAGGAGAAGTCCATGGACCTGCATGGCCTCATAGACCCTCAGGCTGAAAACTGCTGACCTGTACTAATACACATCTATGCTGCATGGTGAATATATTGTTGGAAGTGAGTGAGCTCAATGACCTCAAAGGTTTCCTTTTCTTTATAACTTCGTAGATTCCTTAGAGAGGATGAAGTACCTCAGAGTTGCTAAGAGGGAAAATCCTTTTATTATTGTAAAGTATTACGTACAATATCTATTAGCCCTTTTGTTAATTATTGTCTGTTGCTCTTTTCCTAAATTAGACACCAAAGCCATGTGCACAAAGATACTCCCACAAGTAATTTTTCTTGTGCATGACTTAAAGATGAACCTTGCACCAAACCCACAAGTGCACTGTGTTTGAAGAGTGAAATTAAGCAGCCCCCAAGTGAAACGAGTGGAATTATAGGCATTTTCTTTGGAGAATCAGCTTCTCCATGCTGCAGAGGGTGTGCTGGGAGCAGCCCGGGTCAGCTATTTTATGTTCATTGTCTGGAATGCTGCCTACTCTATTTGAGACATTTTGTCATTTTATGCTTTTCTTGACGGACTTCTAAAAATAATTTACGTGAAGCTCTGCTTGGTTTCTGAACTAAGACACTCATTTCTCCACAAAAAAAAAATTGAAGATGAAACTGTATCAGGGGCCAGAAATCTACCTCACACAGGCAAGAGCAGCAGTCAAAATGCAACTGCACTGATTTCAGGCTAGCAATAAAAAGGAAAATATCTGGAATCTCTATTAGGACTGTGAAGCCCATGCTGACCCTTGAGCTTGCACATCTTCACAGCTACTGTGACCCAGATTCACTAAAGAGACTCCTATAAGTCCTAAAAGTGGTTCTGTACCACTCCTCTAATATTGGACCATGTCCTCATGTCAAACCTATAGCCAATGCCAAGGGTGGTTCATGCCATATGCAGCTCAGTTGCCTCCCTTCTTCCAGGCTTCTTGGGGCTTGCTGTAGCCCAGATGGACAGTGTCGACAGTGGCACACTACCTTCACTGTCTTCTGCCTCAGCATTCTTAATGAGTACCTTTGTGACAGAGCAGGCACATGACATAGCAAAAAGATCTGAGCATGCAGGGACTTTCCAGGCCGTGCCAGTACTGTGCAGCATGTCTTCATGTCTGATGCAGACACGTCTGGTCTTATGGTGGGAGGTGGCAAAAGGCTGTTGGAGGCACAAAGACTAAGACACTAAAAAAGTAGTATCCCAGGTTAGTGGTGTCCTTCTTAAAGACATTGGTTTGTACTCATCCTATGTCTCTGCAATACAGTGAAGATGTTCCTTGCTTCTTTCTTTTCTTATATCTTGCTTTTGACCTTGAGGTCCCTCAAAGGCATCTTCCCACTCAGCCCCAGCTCTCAGCTGATGCACTCATGCCGCTTGCAACCACATCTACTGAAATGTACTCACCGGCTCGGCAGAATTCATCGGCCTCCTGGTGCACCATGTCTTTGACTCGATTGCTGTAGGTCAACCTGGAATCTTGATCGTAAGCCTTTAGGGTCTCACTGGAGCTGTAGGACTTCTGGGGTACCTTGCTGTCCTCACTCTCGGCTGAAGAGCTGGTGTAGCGGCGCTCGGCGTCACGGCGCCGAGTCAGAGATCGATACGGTTTCCTTTCCTTTACATCCATGGCACTCTTGTCTGAGTATTCAACATTAAAATAATGACGTCTGTGTGGTGGTCAGATTGGAGTAACCTGAAAGACAGAATAGAAAAAATGGGATGTAGGTTCATGCCTTTGGGCACTTGAAAGCTAATCTGACTTCTTTGTGTGTTCTTGCAATGAACAAAAGAAAGGTTACTTAATGGGTTGCAGGAAAACCCTCTTTTAACAATTACTGATGAAAAGAAAGTCTCCATTCTGTGTGACTCACTTAATAATTGCCACAGGTAGTGGGACTCATACACGCAGCAACCTGCATGTCTGAACCGGGCACGCACTTGGGGATCTGAAGCTGATGGTGGTTTTCTGCGTCTTCTTTCCACAGGAAGTGATTCAGACACCTCCAGGAGGCATGTATTTGGTACATCAGTCACCTATCTCTGGCAAAACAGGCTACGCTGAAATGGCTCTATTTAGGCAGCCCAAGGACTTTGGAAAAATGCTGCTGTATAGTTTTAAAAGTGTTTTGGTGGATCACGAGGTTAGAAGGAAGGAACAGAGGAGTGAGACAGTGTACGAATGCAAGTGGGCAGAGAGAAGGAGAGAAAAATGAAGAGCTGAGGTATGGATGGAAGTCAGATGAAAATGGCTTCCTGTTCAGAGGGCTTGTCTTTACTCAGCTGTAAATATATTAGAACTTAGCAGAGTTGAGAAAGGCTCTGCTTCATGTAACAGCAGGGCCTGGGATTTATGCCTGTGGGAAAACCAATGTATATATGCATGGGTATGCAAGCATACATATCTGCACACAAAGAAAACTGCTATCAGAAATAAAACCTGCATTAGAAGTATTTTTGTCAAAATAATTGATAAATTGTCTTTTCAATTTAAATTTATTAAATTTAACAGAAGGCACAGAAAAAAAAAAAAAAAACAAACCCAAAATCAATGACTTGCAGCAAGATGGTAAAACATGTTTAGGAATAACTAAACCGGTTTATGAGGAAAAATACTGATAAAACCTACAAACCAAAGTTTGAAATCTGTAATGACATGCTGAATTTCCCAGGAGCTGAGTCCTTCTGACTGCTAAAGAACAGAAGCTGGGTCTCTAAATGCCACACCAGGATACTGTTGTTTACTAGCAGTGCTTATAAACAGAGAAGAAGATCAGAAAACACTTTTCAGTTCCTGGTCTTATTCATAGCAAATACATATGAAAATGCATAAGCGAGGACTGAACCATAGTCTGTTGACATTTCTCTCTTGAAAAGCTAACTCCTGAACATACTAATAAAATCTTTCTCCTCCAAGACTCCTAGACCCAGCCTTGCTTCGGGTTCTGTGTTGCAGCAGAACACAGCTCTGGTGCAGCAGTCCAGGATGGATGTGCTGTGAGCTTGAAGGTTGGTTTAAAGTCATAAGGTGTAATGTAGAAGTTGTGGCTCTCAAAACTGTGAGCCTGCAAAGGATGGAAGACTCATAGCATGGGTTCTGATAACTTAAAAATCATAATGATAATGCAGAAGTTTGAAGATAACATTTTAGTCTGAAGTCCTCACTTGCCAAGCTGTCTGGCACAAGCATAACTAAGCAAATCCTCAAGTTGAAGAGAGACTGCGGGAGGGAGGATGAGCTGCAGGATGGCTGTGAGATACACCTGCAGCTGGGCAAAGAGAAAGAGGGTCCCACTCTTTCTCTAGTTCTGTCTTTGCTTTGTACCTTTAACCTCCAAAATGAACTTTACAGTGACAACCCAATTCCAACGGCTTGCACCGTTTTTTTTTTTCAATTGTTATTGAATTGGTTTGCCTCCTTTATACCCTCTCTGTTTGTATGAAATCCTCAAAAGGAGCAGGTTTGTTATACCTTTTAATAAGACACCTTAAAACAGGCTCCTTCACAACGGTGCTGTAGTAAGAGCTGTTATGACAAACACTGAAATTGTGGTTTATTATCATGGGGCATGGAGATAGCAAAATGTGAGGGAGAATTGGTTGCTATATAAGAAAGAAATGAGGAAAGGTGGCTTCTCTGTACTCATGAGTATTGCAGCAATTCCTACCAAGGGCCAGTCATTTAAAAACCCTCTAGAGGAAGAGGCACACGTGCCAAGAAAACCTTTCTGCACAGTTAGAGCCACAAGGTACAAACAGGGTCTGTAATTACCATTAGTAACCTTGCAACTTCAGAAATGGCCAAAAAAAAAATCAGGAAATTGACTGAACTCCCACCAGATGAAGCATTTTCTTTTTGTAAAGAAAGGTGCTGAAAAACTGAAATTCCTCCTACAGTTCATCAAAAATAGCCCTGTAAATTTGCACCATTCGCATACACATTCTTCTAGAAAAGTGCTTCAACTCCCAATTCATTCATGTCTATAAATTTAACTCTTCTCAGCCCTTTTCTTTTCTCTCTCTCTCTTACCACTTGTACGGAGACACTTTTCAACTAGAAAGGTCAACCCCAAAACACATAATGAAGATTTTTTTTATTTTTAAAGAAGGAACTGTTACACGTAAGTGACTTAAGGAAGTTTCCAGCATCTCTCCATGGACATGCAGTTCTTGTCATCTCATTTTTATGGCCCAGTTCCCAGATGGCCTAGATACCTTGCCTTCAGTGGAGTTGCATTGTCAGGGAATTTGCCTCATATTGCTTCTGTGATAGATTATTATTTTTTTATCTGCTACTCCTTGTGTCTTGATTTCACTTCTGCTACAACTTCACCCATGCCATCAACACCTCACATTTTTCCTGACTTCTCTGGCACACAGCAAATACAAAGAATCACTCTTGTCTCAGCTACCTACTCAACCAACCGTTTCTTTCTGCCTCTAGTTCATGATTGCTCCTCATAATTTTAACAGCTTCCATAAACTTGCTGGACCTCATATGAAAAAACAAGGCTTCTAACATTATCCTTTCCATCCCTTCACTCTTTCGTCCTCCATAAAAGCACAAAAACACCCTGCTCTGAGCTGTTTCTATTTGGAAAGGACTTTCTTGTCCTATAATGGAGTGTTTCTGGCTCAGTTTGATTCTTTCATCATAGTGTTGTCTGCGTAACATATCAAATTTCACCTTATTTTATTCTCCAGGCCAATTAATAGCAATAGCCATTCTTATTTTTGTCGGCTCTCCGAGTGTAGAATCCCAGCTGGACCACAAGCTGGTTCGCAGTACAATTCACAACAGAAGCACCCTTCAGTTTTTACTTACTGAACTCAGAAAAATCCCACTGGCCCCAGAAAGAGTTACTCACATGCTAAAGTCTGTAAAATCAGACTCCTTGACATAGTTGTATATTTCAGAGCTGTGGGATTCTTCTTGCATCTTTGCATATATGTCAAGAGGCATAACAAAAAAAAAAATTAGCTTTCTAGCTCTGGTGCAGTAGTGCAGTAAATGCAATGCTTATTTGCAGCTCTTTTTATTTTACTTTGGCTTCGGTTGACTCTCAAATAATCCTTTTTATTATGTTTTATCCTTTTTATCTATCCTCCTCATTCTCGGTTCTGTTGCTTTTTGTTGCATTTGGAGCTTTGATTAACCCCACCGGCTTTGTGCTGCAGAAGTGCACTCAATGAATGGCAGGAGGAATGATTTATTTTCTGAGTCACTGCTCAAAAGACAAACTTCCATCAATCAAAAACCAGACAAGAGAGTGCGACACCACAGAGCGATCTGCTAGGAGGCGCTTACAGCAAAAGGGACAGGTGGTCTTTGATAGCTGACTTACATTGCAGGTCACTAATCACAGAGATTAGCAGCAAGGTGATAGACAGCGCCTGGTCTGGAAGGCAGCATGTCATATCATCCAATTTTCTGTCAAAATGTGAGGGTTTAAATGGTAAAGATAGCTTTATGTGTTTCCTATATAGTTATGGCAACAGGGTGGTGAGAAAGCTGGAAGAGTGAAATATCTTGTCTCCATGAAAACCTGAGACTGAATCCTGCAGGTAGATTTGGTCCATCTTTGTGCTGGAGGAAGCAAAGTGACTTCCCACAGTTGTTTGTTCCTCTGCAAAGCTGCCCATGCAAAAGTGGCATCATCTTAATTGCCAGGGCCTGTTTTTTGTTTCCACTTCTTAAAGTTGATCTTCTCATTCCACTGCTTAGGGCAATTTTTTCACCCTTTTTTTTTTTTATTTTTTATTTTTTTATTATTATTTTTATTTTTTATTGCTGCTGCCCTTTGTAGAAGGAGTACAGCTACAGAATACAGAGCAGCAGTCTGTATTTTATTTTTTCTCCTTTGGGCTCCACAAATCGAATTATGAACTAAGACTTAATGTTGGTAAGAAGTGATCAAGTATCCTTTTCTTCACTTTATAGAGGAAGAGATGAAGCATAGGAAGTCAAAGTGAATTGCTTAAAGTGGAACAAAAAGAAAGTAACACAAGCGAGAGTAGACTCTTGATATCCCAGGCAGAGTCTGATACTGACCCCTTGATTTTTTGAGAATCAAGTCACATAAGCACTGCAAAATCCTTAATTTAAAAAATCTTGGCCAACGCATGTCTGAAATCTTTGTGTGAGATGAGTAGTACGAACCTCAGGTATTATTAAAAAGATGCTCTTTCATGTTTGGATAGTGACCTTCTGTCAGAGACTGTGGAGCATGTACAATTGCAGTTGTGTCTGACCAGTGAACTCCCATCGTGAATGATGAAAAACCCACTCAGAGACAAAAGAGAGAGAGTTTTTTGCCATGTTGTACATTCGTGTTCTAAGAAACATCAACAGATATTGGGGCCAGAGCAGCACTGTTGTTTGGGAAGTTAGCTCCAACTCAGGATGCTAAGCTGCAACCAAAGATGTTGTAAGTTCAGATGCTTAAATGACTTTGTTGCAGGGGTTGTGAATGTTCTACACCAAGATGAGTCATCACTTGATGTTTAACATCTTATTTGAAACAATGCAGTCCACTGTGATAGTCCCATCACACTTCCATGAGGATGCAAATGCCTGGACTGAGACTCTGTCTTCTGGTCTCATGATACAAAATGTTGAATCTGGGAAATCTTATTCGGTCATTTCCATTTGTCCAAAAAAGTCTGTGATATTGCCTGCCATTCCACACCTGGTCTA